ACAACAAATTGTTGTAACTTACACATCTAATCATTAATTTGTAGCATTATCATGTTTTATACTGTCGAACTACAAGTGGTTCTCCACGCATTGACTTGCTTCTTAAGGGCTTGTTTGATTTTGGTGATTGTTTGATGGGATAGTTACAAATACAATGCATGTATTTAACTACTCAATTTTTCTTGTTCTAATAATATAAAGAGGTAATTATTTGGTCGAGGAACTCTGCGTATTTGGAGGGTTGAAATTTTCTTTTTCTTTTTACATATACTATGCTTTTAAGACAAGGTCGTATAATTCCCCATTTTCAAGGGCTATAAAACTGTTTGTCTGATTTACTAAAATTTAGGCCATGTTATAATACAAACTTACGCATAAAAATTGCAAAAATATATACCCACCATCTATAATAACGGGATACATAACTAAAAATAAACAACTTTAGCATAAGACCAAAAAACACAATGAAAGAAAGAAATCGATTAGCTCAACTATAGCCTATAAATACACACCACAATTAGTCTTGCTTCACATCCAAAACACACACCAATCAAACATCTTCCTAAACAAAATCACACGAAGAATCACTTGCATACGAAAGATGAAGCCTGTTACATTTCTCGTGGCTCTGACTACCGTCGCAGTCGTTCTCTCCACCGTCAGTGCTAGTCCCTACGGTGGGTGGCAGCCGATAGAGAACATACATAACTATCGCATCCAGGAGATTGCTAAGTTTGCGGTAGTAATGCACAACTTGGAAAACAATTTCAAACATCCGTTGAGACTCGTAAGCATTCGGAGGGGCCTTGTCCAGGTGGTGGATGGCATGAACTATAAGCTCGACGTGATGGTGGCTGAGGGCAACAGTCTCGACTCCAGGGGCAGTATGTACCGAACGGAAGTTCACGTGAGGCGTGGTGCGATGGAGCTCATTTTTTTCACACGTATAGTTAAAGGGTTAAATTAAGATCATGCATGAACAATAATTTAGCAGTCTTTGTTTTAGTTTTTAAGTTTTTCATTGTTTGACTAATAATTAGGAATAACATAAACTTGGTTGGTTATCTAGTAATGTGTTATTAGTTGATTATGTCATTTTTATCAAAAGTATGATTGTGCCCTTAATTAATTGCTAGTGTCTAATTTTTATCTCTACAAATTGATGCGCTATATATCGTTCTACCGCACCAAATCTCATGAACAACTGAAGTCAAAACCAACAAATATCCATTGAGTAAGACTATTTCAATGTGTCAAATTAATTACTGCATCATGACATAGGCTAGAATTTGAGGACTTTCGAGAATAACGAATGTTCATGGGACAACTTAATACACAAAATTGTAAAAAATTGCATCGATTGTAGTATTACTACAAATACTAGTGCCCACTCAATTTCGACACGACAAAGCTACCAGTGTAGTTGTTATCAAGGCTCATTTGTATGGTTTAAATGAAAGGGAGCAGAGTAAATAAAAGGTGCCGTGTTTCCTTTGCGGAAACTTCAGAAATTACTACTTAAAAAATGTTACACCTTGTGGTGGCTAAAGATTTAAAATTCAACTAAATCACATAGAGGAGAAAAATTAATTGGACCAAATCCGAGAAAATGTATATATCTGGGTCCACCTTAATCCACACTTATCCTTTATTTATATATATGAGAGTCTTCCGAATCGGTTCATGTTATTAATTTCAGTTCAGAGCGGTTATTTATTTTGTAGCAAGTCTCGATGAAGATACACAACGCACGAGGGAAGAGGAATTACGGCACACGATAATGGCATCCCCTTATCATAATTAATCACTTCTTACCTGGAACTACTTGACCATCGATTATCGAGCCCAGCGAGCCAACTGATTACTTAACTCAAGTGAGATCCCTTGCTGCATTGCTTCTAGAAATGCATCCCTCCTGCCTAAATCTGGACTCGATCGAGGCAGGTGTTTCCAGGCGAGAAAACTTGCATTGAATTGATATTGATTGCACCTTGATTTCTTTGGACAACGATTAAATTAACACGGTTCACACATCTTCAAACAAAGTTCAAACGAGGGTGTTCGATGTTTACACGACTCACGAGACATAAATCTACATTAAATTACCCTACTCCTATGGAGGTTCATTGTGAGCTCCAGATCTACGACTATGACTAAAATTGCAAAGGAAAAGATAAAAGGATAAAATTTGACATTAGGGTGTCTGGTGTGAATTTGGCGAACCCTTCCCTGTCAACTCCTCCTCCTATTTATAGTCTTGAAGTGGTAACCGTCATAGAAAAAATGTCTGAGATTATCTTCCAAAAAGAACTGCTACCCTTCTTCCTCGGATGTGGCTGACGAGTACTTGAACGTGTGATAATCGGCAATTGCCCAGTTAACCGCCTGCTATCTCTTTTTGAATTGATGTCTTGTTAGACATAGAGGCCAACGTGGTATAGCTCTCTAACTTAGCATATTTGAGGTTTTCCTCTACCGCGTAGCTTGCCTTCTTCTTTCCAACTCGTTAGTTTAGATCTTGTCATGGTCTAGATCTCGCGGCCACCTTGGTCTATTAGACTTGACGTCAACTTGGTCTAGATCTCGCGACCTTGGGCCATCTTGGTCTACTAGGATTGACGCCAACGAGGTCTAGATCTCGCGACCACCTTGGGCTATTAGACTTGACGCCAATGTGGTTTATATATCGCGACCACCTTGGGCTATTAGGCTTGACGCCAACATGGTCTAGATCTCGCGACCAATTTGGTCTATCCAACTCGTGACGAGCCTGATCTAGTAGACTCGCGACGAGAATAATTCCTTCCCGGAGACTTAGTGGTTTGGGCTTAAAAATCTAGTACCATAAGGCACATCTTAAATAATATTATTTGTTATTATTGATCTGGCCTTATAAACACAGTTAGTACCTTGTAAATAATCAATGTGGTACAAGATTATTTTTTGGGTGTAAACAAATGCCCTCCAACTATACTTAGTGCATAAGAATTATGGACTAAGCAGTTGAGACCACATATAGCACCAACACATGTCGTCTCTTTACTTAGCCAAATATGACTTTCTTATTAAGCCAACACGGCCAGATGAAACTAGACGTCAAAGCTTAGCCCATGCCTTAGTCAAATTTTGGCTTTCAATGATCAAGCCAACACGGCCAGATGGAACTCGCAGTCAAAGCTTGTCCCATGCCTTAGCCAAATTTTGGTTATCACCTCAAGCCAACACATTCAGATGGAACTCGCCGTCAAAGCTTGTTCCATGCGTTAGCCAATTTTTTGGCTATTACATCCAACCGCCTATTGCATTCAACGAGACACCAATCTTGCTAAAACGTGACTGCGTGCGAGTTAGGGGGAAGCGTTTGAATCAGGCCTCCTAGCGGTGTACTTAATTATAGGGGAGCCATGTGGAGGCCCCTGAACTATATATGTATCAGTTCCCGGTCGGAAGGAGAATCTCAATAGTCAATATATATGCATGAGCATGAATGCATGCTTATTGCTTAATCAATGCATTGCGGTGGTACGAAACTATGAATACGATCGAGACTTAGAGTTCATTTGGTAAGTGCGTATCTAAATGATGTATTTAATGAATGCATGTATTGTAGAGAATGCATCATTTTTTTGTTGTAAAATAAAACACAATACATGCATTTGATTGTTGATGTGACATTTGAAATCATTCAAAATGAATGATTTAGAATCTCAACTATTTGGTGAGATTGTTGAGATTATGTTTTGAGATTCTGAATCAACTTTTCGTCTCTTTTATGCCCTTATCAACTTTTATATGTGATTGATTTTATATCTAAATGGAAGAGTAAATGTGACTTTTCATTCAAAAAGTTGGTTTCCTATTATATTCTTACAAATACAATCACAACTAGGGGTGGCTATACGGTCCGGTCTGGTTAAATTGGACCAAATTGATACGGTCTCACTCCGGTCTTTTTGGGAATATAATGACCAATGATTGGATTGGATAAAGTCCGGTCTTCTTAACCCGGTCAGGTCCCAATTTGATTTTGATTTTAGATTGAGTTTGTGTGGATTTGAGTGTTGGGGTCTCTTATCCGGTCTTTATCCGGGTATTTTACCTCAAATCTAAGCCCGAATATGAGATTGGATTTTTGCTATCCGGTCCCAGTCAGGTCCCGATCCGGGGTATACGGTCCGGTTTTGGGTAAAACCAAACAGTCCGGACCAAATAGCCAGCCCTAATCACAACTACCAAACATAGTAATCTTACAATGCAAACACTTAACCAATACATCAATTTATAATGCATGCATTCATACAATACATCAATTTTAACAATCGCAAATACCAAACGAGGCCTTAGACTAAACCAAATTGTAATCACCATTGAATTTTACAAAAATGCTCTACACCTTTCACAACAAATTGTTGTAACTTACACATCTAATCATTAATTTGTAGCATTATCATGTTTTATACTGTCGAACTACAAGTGGTTCTCCATGCATTGACTTGCTTCTTAAGGGCTTGTTTGATTTTGGTGATTGTTTGATGGGATAGTTACAAATACAATGCATGTATTTAACTACTCAATTTTTCTTGTTCTAATAATATAAAGAGGTAATTATTTGGTCGATGAACTCTGCGTATTTGGAGGGTTGAAATTTTCTTTTTCTTTTTACATATACTATGCTTTTAAGACAAGGTCGTATAATTCCCCATTTTCAAGGGTTATAAAACTGTTTGTCTGATTTACTAAAATTTTGGCCATGTTATATTATAAAACTTACGCATAAAAATTGCAAAAATATATACCCACCATCTATAATAACGGGATACATAACTAAAAATAAACAACTTTAGCATAAGACCAAAAAACACAATGAAAGAAAGAAATCGATTAGCTCAACTATAGCCTATAAATACACACCACAATTAGTCTTGCTTCACATCCAAAACACACACCAATCAAACATCTTCCTAAACAAAATCACACGAAGAATCACTTGCGTACGAAAGATGAAGCCTGTTACATTTCTCGTGGCTCTGACTACCGTCGCAGTCGTTCTCTCCACCGTCAGTGCTAGTCCCTACGGTGGGTGGCAGCCGATAGAGAACATACATAACTATCGCATCCAGGAGATTGCTAAGTTTGCGGTAGTAATGCACAACTTGGAAAACAATTTCAAACATCCGTTGAGACTCGTAAGCATTCGGAGGGGCCTTGTCCAGGTGGTGGATGGCATGAACTATAAGCTCGACGTGATGGTGGCTGAGGGCAACAGTCTCGACTCCAGGGGCAGTATGTACCGAACGGAAGTTCACGTGAGGCGTGGTGCGATGGAGCTCATTTTTTTCACACGTATAGTTAAAGGGTTAAATTAAGATCATGCATGAACAATAATTTAGCAGTCTTTGTTTTAGTTTTTAAGTTTTTCATTGTTTGATTAATAATTAGGAATAACATAAACTTTGGTTAGTTATCTAGTAATGTGTTATTAGTTGATTATGTCATTTTTATCAAAAGTATGATTGTGCCCTTAATTAATTGCTAGTGCCTAATTTTTATCTCTACAAATTGATGCGCTACATATCGTTCTACCGCACCAAATCTCATGAACAACTGAAGTCAAAACCAACAAATATCCATTGAGTAAGACTATTTCAATGTGTCAAATTAATTACTGCATCATGACATAGGCTAGAATTTGAGGACTTTCGAGAATAACGAATGTTCATGGGACAACTTAATACACAAAATTGTAAAAAATTGCATCGATTGTAGTATTATTACAAATACTAGTGCCCACTCAAATTCGACTCGACAAAGCAACCAGTGTAGTTGTTATCAAGGCTCCTTTGTATGGTTTAAATGAAAGGGAGCAGAGTAAATAAAAGGTGCCGTGTTTCCTTTGCGGAAACTTCAGAAATTACTGCTTAAAAAATGTTACATGTAAGGAATCCTTGAAAGGACAAATAGTGAGGAGATTGATTTGTTTCAAAAGTATTTAGGAAAAGAATCCTACACCTAGTGGTGGCTAAAGATTTAAAATTCCCCTTATCATAATTAATCACTTCTTACCTGGAACTACTTGACCATCGATTATCGAGCCCAGCGAGCCAACTGATTACTTAACTCAAGTGATATCCCTTGCTGCATTGCTTCTAGAAATGCATCCCTCCTGCCTAAATCTGGACTCGATCGAGGCAGGTGTTTCCAGGCGAGAAAACTTGCATTGAATTGATATTGATTGCACCTTGATTTCTTTGGACAACGATTAAATTAACACGGTTCACACATCTTCAAACAAAGTTCAAACGAGGGTGTTCGATGTTTACACGACTCACGAGACATAAATCTACATTAAATTACCCTACTCCTATGGAGGTTCATTGAGAGCTCCAGATCTACGACTATGACTAAAATTGCAGAGGAAAAGATAAAAGGATAAAATTTGACATTGGGGTATCTGGTGTGAATTTGGCGAACCCTTCTCTGTCAACTCCTCCTCCTATTTATAGTCTTGAAGTGGTAACCGTCATAGAAAAAATGTCTGAGATTATCTTCCAAAAAGAACTGCTCCCCTTCTTCCTCGGATGTGGCTGACGTGTACTTGAACGTGTGATAATCGGCAATTGCCCAGTTAACCGCCTGCTATCTCTTTTTGAATTGATGTCTTGTTAGACATAGAGGCCAACGTGGTATAGCTCTCCGACTTAGCATATTTGAGGTTTTCCTCTCCCACGTAGCTTGCCTTCTTCTTTCCAATGTGGTTTATATATCGCGACCACCTTGGGCTATTAGGCTTGACGCCAATGTGGTTTATATATCGCGACCACCTTGGGCTTTTAGGCTTGACGTCAACGTGGTCCAGATCTCGCGACCAATTTGGTCTATCCAACTCGTGACGAGCCTGATCTAGTAGACTCGCGACGAGAATAATTCCTTCCCGGTGACTTAGTGGTTTGGGTTTAAAAATCTAGTATCATAAGGCACATCTTAAATAATATTATTTTTTATTATTGATCTGGCCTTATAAACATCGTTATTACCTTGTAAATAATCAATGTGGTACAAGATTATTTTTTGGGTGTAAACAAATGCCCTCCAACTATACTTAGTGCATAAGAATTATGGACTAAGCAGTTGAGACCACATATAGCACCAACACATGTCGTCTCTTTACTTAGCCAAATATGACTTTCACATTAAGCCAACACGGCCAGATGAAAATAGACGTCAAAGCTTAGCCCATGCCTTAGTCAAATTTTGGCTTTCAATGATCAAGCCAACACGGCCAGATGGAACTCGCAGTCAAAGCTTGTCCCATGCCTTAGCCAAATTTTGGTTATCACCTCAAGCCAACACATTCAGATGGAACTCGCCGTCAAAGCTTGTTCCATGAGTTAGCCAAATTTTTGGCTATTACATCCAACCGCCTATTGCATTCAACGAGACACCAATCTTACTTCCCCAAAACCCTTTATTGCCATCTAGTACTTGACCACATGTTTGAGCAAATAACTTAGAATTTTTAGCATATATTTTAACGTGGAGTGACTCATCTCACCTTGTCACAAGGCTAAGAAGCTCTCTCACGGCAACTCAAGTGAGATCCCTTGCTGCATTGCTTCTAGAAATGCATCTCCTGCCTAAATCAGGATTCGTTCGAGGCAGGGTGTGACCTAGACGCAATGGCGGAGCCAGAAAATAGGTCAAGGGGTTGTTTTTACTTATACAAAAAATGTACATAATAAAAGAGTTAACTCTAAGCGGAATAAAAATTTAACATTATAATACTCAATATTCGTAAAATATAATTACAAAATAGCATTTTAACACGCACCGCTTACAACGAATCCTGTTCAATATATATCACTAATGTATCGTTTAACCATTCATCGTCGAACCGATTTTGAAGATCGTTCTTATAGAATGATCAAATCGATTTAGTTGTAAGTTTTAGGACAAACAACTATTTAAAGTAAAAGAGAATACATATTGTGATCACCGAACCTATATGATAAAGATGGTATGGAAGGCAATGCATGTCATAGGGGTGTTCAAATGGTTACCATGGTTATTACCAAACCAAATAAGGCTAAATTTCATTAACCATGGAATACAATATCATAACCAAACCGTCCAAACTAATACAACAACCAAATTAACCAAATTAAAGTTTAATCGGTTTGGTTAATTGGTTAACCAGATTAACCAATATAAAATAACATTATCATTAAGTGAGAAAATTTCGGTTAATTTATCAATTCACAATTTATATAATGAATAAAACATAACAATCAACACATAGTTATAGTGGACCTTTAACATAAATACATGCAACTAAGACAATTATCTTACGGTTAGTATAGAAGTATTCACCTAACAAAAATTTATCACAATGGTATGGGTTAACGAATTTTTGTGTTTGTTTGAATTGAATTAGTCTTTTAGCAATTTTCATAGGCTGAAAATGACCTTGCTTTCAAGTTTTCATCCAACATAATGTATGAGATTTATCTAAATTAGACGTTCATATGTTGTAGTCTACACTCTACATATACAAATTTACATTATAGGAACAATATCAAGCTTTATATATTATGAGTCTAAAAGGGATGAATGTTCAACTCTTGAGTGGTTATTCAAAGTATTAAGTATGTGTATATATATTATATATATGGCTATTTATTTATCTGGTTAATTTGGTTTGGCTGGTTAGGAGTGTCTGAAACCAAACCACCTAAACCAAACAAGCTAAAAACTTTAACCAAACCAAAACAATTATCCAAATTAATCAGACCAAATTATCCAAATAGTACTGGTTAAAACGGTTATCATGGTAACCACACCGTTTGAACACCCCTAATGCATGATTTGATTAGAGGGGTTCAAATCTTCCCGCTTACTTTTCTTGTTGGGATTTCTCATTTCTTCCTCCTCCAAGGGGGGTGCCGAGCACCCCTAGGTTTGTGAGTGGCTCCGCCACTGCCTAGACGGTAATAAGTAATAACATGTAAAACACCTATCAAGTTTCATACTTGGATCAAGTTCGTTAAGAGTGATTTTAAACAAGTGATGGAGGTTATAATATGTGTGAATTATTATAATATTATTTCAAATTTTCGTCTATTAAAAATTAGGGGTTAGCAAAAGAATTTGAATGGGGTTAGGGAGATTACGATTTAAGTGATGGGAACCATGCTAGTAGGGAGAGCATGACGAGGCGATGGCGAAAGCCTTATCGAACTCTATTTTTCAATTTTATTTTTTTTATAAAAGATAATCATATATTGATAGAAACAAATCGATAGTTACATCCTGGAAGCCAGCCAGGTATGGAAATCAAAATAACGACACGTAGTCAGGAACAAAGAAAGGGTCTGTCTAGCTACCATATGAGCTACCCTATTGTCACCCCGACCTACAAATCGTACAGTAAAACCCGGATTATCCCTGAAAATTTGAATCATTTCCTCCAAAATAGTCCCTACCCGACTGTCACGCACATCAGCCTTACAGATCTTATCAATGACCACCTTGGCATCCCCTTCAAACCGCATGACCATAAACCTGTGCGCTAAACACCAACGGGCAGCTTCCCTGAGCGTAAGAAGCTCCACCACCATTGGATCATCCAGGTGGGGAAACTGAACCCCTGCAGCCCAGAGCGGCGTACCTACATCATTGAGAAGGACCATACCACCTGCAGAATGTGACCCTCGTCGAACAGCCCCATCCCAACGACACACAGGTCCCTCTTACCCGCTCACTACCATAGTAGGATGATCAGGCAGATGAGAAGAGGGAGCCTGAGGGTCCCTAGGCAGGCCTAGCCACTCCCCTACTTGTTGGTTATACTTCCTCAACAATGCCGGAATGGTGTATTGTTTACCCTTCAAAGACCACCCAATTTCGGGATCTCCAAATTCGCCACAGGATAGCAATTACCGCCATGAACTGTGAAGGTTGATGTAAGATAGCCAGCAATTTTTTGAGGAAGAGGGGGGATGTATGGCGGGGCAATCCCTCACCAAAAGAATCAAACCCCGCCTGCGACCACAGAGCCCTTGCCACAGGACAATCAAAGAACAAGTGTTCCATGGTCTCCTTAGAGGCCCAGCAAACAGGACATCGGGGCAGGACCTCCACGCCCTTTTCTACAAGAGCCTCAGTCGTAGGTAAAATTTTGGTCAAGATTTGCCAGACAAACACCTTCAGCTTCGGAGGAATATTAGCTTCCCAAACCCGGATCCAACTCCGCTTGTCCATCCAACTAACCTACGCCCGCCATCTCCCACTCTGCTGGTCCAGAGAAACCGCCAAATGATAAGCCGATTTAACAGTAAAAATTCCATCCTCAATGGCATGCCAGATTAAT